AAAATTGCCTTCCAAACCAAGGTCATGCATGATTTACCCAAAATGCAAAATTATAAAGCTGCAGCTGAAAATGTGTTTAATCTGGATAAATTCATCTCTCCCAGATGTCTCCTCTCTTATTTTACCCAAGTAACTGGGGTGGGGGGCTGGTATTTATGTTTGGGAAGGATCAGCAGTTTTGGGAGCAGATTCCCTGCGCTAAGTGGTCTAGTTGTACAAAGACAGACCACTGACATCTGGTAGATGAGAAAACTTAATTTTCCTCTCACGACAAATCATTTAACATTAGTGGACTGCTTCCTGATGGTTGGCATTTGCATTGAGACTGACTCACTGGGGAAAGTTGTCATGTTGCAGCACAGGTTACACTGAGAGTTTGATTCTCCTCTCATTTGCACCAGAATTGTCTTATAAAAAAATTAATCCATTATCTCTGAACATGCTCCAGTATGAAAGAGTTTTAAGAGAAGGAATATACATAAGTGCTTCTTTCTTGTATTACCTCCTTTGATGAGCTTCACAATTGTGTTGTGTCCTAGTATTTGCCATGCTGTGTCTATGATACAAAGACGATCTCAAACTGTCTTAATAGTATGACAATCAACTTCCAAGGATGCTCTGAGCTTGCATACATAGCATGATCATTGTGAGCTACTCCTATTGTGAGCCCAGCTATCAGAACTGCATCTTAGTGTCCCACACAAACTGCAGGAGCACCCAACATAAAATGTATACTGAGTATCAGAGAACTACATCTTATTGTCCCACACAAACTGCAGGAACACCCAACATAAAATGTATACTGAGTATATAAAGAGAGGCACGTTATTCTTACCGAGAGTGTAAAAGATTTGATCCTTTGAGTTTGGTGAAAACAGGCAAAATAACTTGTGGCAGCTGGTGACTCAGGTCACCTTTGCAAAAGGACTTTGTCCACAAAATGCTCCTGGAACATCTTATTGTCCCACACAAACTGCAGGAACACCCAACATAAAATGTATACTGAGTATATAAAGAGAGGCACGTTATTCTTACCGAGAGTGTAAAAGATTTGATCCTTTGAGTTTGGTGAAAACAGGCAAAATAACTTGTGGCAGCTGGTGACTCAGGTCACCTTTGCAAAAGGACTTTGTCCACAAAATGCTCCTGGACCAGGAGATGCCAAAAGGGTAGGGGAGATATCAAAGGGCACCCAAACAGGGTGGGGGTTGGCAATTCTGTGGGCAGGGTGAATTGCCCCAACTTTGCTCTGCACAGACTAACTGCTTTCCTTAATTTTCACTATAGGGCTTGTTGTTCAGTACACAAATGACAATGGGATCACCTGGCATTTGCTGCGAGAGCTGGACTTCATGTCATACCTGGAACCCCAAGTTGTTTCAATAGACTTACCTCGGGAGGCCAAAACTCCTGCCACCGCTTTCCGCTGGTGGCAGCCACAACATGGTAAGCAAGGCCACCATAAAATTCATTAAGCAGTGTTACACCATCCACATGTCAATGGACATGTTCTGGGAAACCTTAGCTTACCAAAAATCAGTTTGTTGAACAGTTGGGTGCCAAAAGAGCATATTTAGGCTTTCCTGAGTCACACTGCAGGTGTGATTCTCTTTTATAGCACCAAGATGGGCTTAAGAGTAAAATTGTTTAAGAGCAAAGTTTAAACCAAAGATGCTGAAATAACAGAGGGGAGGGACCATAACAGGACCCCCTCCTCCTGCCACTGCTGGTGTTCCCAGCACCCAGCTCCTCTGCCTTCTGCTGCCTCCACCTTCTGCAACCCACTCAGCTGCTTCCCACATCCCCATCTGAAAGAAAAACCCTAGTACTGACTGATTCCTCCAGCCACTGTGAGAGCTCCCACCTTGCACAGGAGCACATTGCCACTATTAAAAGTGATTAAGTGTCTCACCATTGCACAAGGCAGCAGCTCCTGGATCCCAGTAGGAAATATAAGGTGATATGCAGAAATACAGCAAAGCACATTTTAACAGCAATTCCCTGGGGAGCAAAGCACACAGAGCTTACATTCAGGTGATTATGGTCTGCAGCTTCTTAGATATCATTTATCATTTTGATGGCTGATTTTTATTCATACAGTTTCTTACAATGTATGTGCAGGGCTTAATTGTCCTCACTAGGTAATAGAGTAGACAAGGCAAGAGGGATGTGATTTAGGTAAGCAGCCAGTTCCTTTGGGAAAAGGTGCTGAGCAGTAGCAGGTGCACCACAGACCATCATTCTGTGACAATCATTTGCACTGGTGAGTGGTGCAGTGTCAGACCTGCCTCTCCCTGCCTGTGACCTGCTGATTGTCACTTGCTCTGGCAGCAAGTGGATGATACCTACCCCTGCTGAGAGTGATCACTCTAAGACCACCTGATGGCAGCCCTGTGGCTCCCAGGAGAAGGGAGAGTTTATGCCTGGAGGTTGAAATATCACCTTCCATACCAGCACCTACAGGTGACAACCACTTCTCATTACAGATGTTAGTTCCTTCAGGAACTGTCCTCTGGCTGCCATACCTCAGTGCAGAGTGGCCCTCTCAGCAATGACCCATGTTCCTCATAGTGGCAAGACAAAAGTCCAGGCACGTCACTGCAAGCTCACAATTTATTGTAGAGGCTTTCCTTCCTCTCTTGTGAGGGCAGTGATTGTACAGTAAGATGTTTTTTCCAGCATGCCTGTAGAAAGGTGAATTGAAATGAAGGGCTGAAGAAATGGGCTGGAGATGAGGGTGACATTGAGGTGCCTTAGGCTGGAGAGCAGGAGAATACAGATTTCCAGGAAGAACAGCATCTTTATAAATATCATCTATATCCAGAGCCTTCAGCATATTCCTTTGTGTACTACTCTCTTTCATACAAAAGGCACTTTGGGAACTAGACAGAGGCATTTCCAGTTTAGCTGTGGGGAATGGCAGGAAGGTTGTGACCCATGAAATGAAAATCCCCAATCTGGGGGCTCAGGGAGCCTCATTCAAACACAGAGAGAGCATTTGATGGCAAAGGTATTGAAGCTAAAGAAACGAAGAGGGAAATACCTGTATTTATCTGTAATAGAAACATACTTTATAGAGTCCAGGTGCATCCTTGAGCAATGTTTTAGTCTTGTTTAACAGCACTCAGGCTATGTGATTGAGCACTGCTCACTGGGTGAACACAGCATATAGGCAGAAAAAAAACAACTCCACTAACCTGTCTGTTCTGGTTTTTATAGGGAAGCATTCAGCTCAGTGGGCTTTGGATGATGTGCTTATAGGGATGAATGACAGCTCTCAAACTGGCTTCCAGGATAAATTTGATGGAACTGTGGATTTACAAGCAAGCTGGTACAGAATACAAGGAGGTCAAGTAGACATTGACTGCCTGTCTATGGATACAGCTCTCACGTTCAGTGAAAACATTGGTACGTGTCATCAAACATTGCTGCATTTCGTATGAGTCTACCTTATAAATTATTTATGGATCAAGTCCAACAGGATGGGAGATGTAAACAAATCCAGGTATATAGTAATCTGCAGGGAAGAGAAAGGTGAAGAAAGGTGAAGATAGAGATAAAAATTTGAGTGACAGTCCTGAAAGCTTATGCTAAAGGTACATTTTTTGTTGTTGTTTTTCTCTCTTAGGAAAACCTCGCTACGCTGAGACTTGGGACTTCCATGTATCAGCCTCCACTTTCTTGCAGTTTGAGCTGAGCATGGGTTGCAGCAAGCCATACAGCAATTCCCACAGCATTCACCTGCAGTACTCTTTAAACAACGGGAGAGACTGGCACTTGGTGACAGAGGAGTGTGTCCCTCCCACGATCGGCTGTCAGCAGTACACCGAGAGCTCCATCTACACTTCAGAAAGATTCCAGAACTGGAAGAGAATTACTGTCTACCTCCCACCCTCAACCAAGTGAGCACTGCTCTTCAGGCTGTTTAGCATGACAAAGGTTTTGCTGATCTAATTTGAGCAAACATCCCCCAGCTTGGGAATGTTCTGCATGTCTTTTGAATTTTTAAATGTGTGTTGTCACGTCACCAGAATTTTTCAAAATATTTCATCAGCTATAACATGAGCCGTAGGAACTTAAGGAAGGAACAACTTTGATGAGTGGATTCTTAAGTCTTGCCTATAATCTATGACAGTAAGAACAAGAATGCTAAACCAGCTTTTCTAACATCTGTGCAATAAGAAGCAAGAATTAATACCCTGACCCATCCTTTCACATAGTAGTGTTTTCTGTCATTGCACATAAGTTGTCATCCAGCATTTAGGCTTCTTAGTCATGGCATTCAGCAAGTCATAACACATGTTACGGGATGTGACACCTCCACCCTTTTGACCAGGAGGGGAGTTCTGCTTGCTTCCTCAGGATGTCACATGGTTGCAAAGGGATGTGGCAGATATGCTGGCATCCATCTCTCTCAATACAACCGTGCTGCAGGTTAGAAATAACAGATGATGATATTTCTTACCATTGTTCTGAACAGTTCTGTTATTCTTCAAAGCATCATGCATATTATTCTGCAGATTTCATCACCCAGAACATACAGTGGTAAAAATGGACACACAGTAAATGAACTGGGACTGGAGTTCTCAGCTTGGTTTGTAATTCCATAGTTCACTCCAGAGGATCATACATCATCTTCTGAAGAGTGTTTTTTTTCCAAAAGACTTTCCTCATTTGAGAATAGCAAGGCAGTCAGCAATAACAGCACTGTGTGCATGTACATGTTTGTACATATGTATTCCTACATTTTTATATAATTCATATATATATACATATCAACATTGTTTTTATCTTTACACAACATAAATGAATAAATGAATTTTTTACTCTACTGAAGCAGTTATATTGTTTTAAGTCTGCCAGCAACACATGGAGCTGTCAAATGCTAATGGAGCTACTCATTTCTGCTCAACCACTTTGCTGATCAGCGAGTTCTTTCTTGCTTTATACTTTGAGCCCCTTCCTTTAGAATATGTTGGAATTTTGCCTAACTAACCTGAGAAATTGAAACTTCCAATTTCAACTGGAATGGGAGTGTTTTCCAAATAAAGGGACAACGCTTATCATATGCTTTTCTTCTCCTGAAGTCTAGGGGATTTTCTTTATTATTTAGCACTTTATGGAGCAGAAATTTTGAAGCCTGAAATACGTTTACTCTGTTTTTAACAGCTCTCCCAGAACAAGGTTCAGATGGATTCAGTACAACTATGCTTCTGGTGTAGATTCTTGGGCTATCGATAATGTGATCCTGGCTACAGGGTGCCCCTGGATGTGCTCAGGTCATGGCATCTGTGATTCAGGTCATTGCATGTAAGTAGAAACCTGCTTAACTTGCTTCATAGGAAGGATGTGTTTTATCTAGGCCAAATGGATAACCCCTTTTCCTCCCAATTTGTTGCTAGGTGTGACAGAGGCTTTGGAGGTCCATACTGTGTCCCTGTCCTTCCTCTGCCATCTGTCCTGAAGGATGATTTCAATGGTAACTTACATCCAGACCTTTGGCCTGAAGTCTATGGTGCTGAGAGGGGAAACCTGAATGGTGACACCATCAAGTCTGGAACAGCTCTCATTTTCAAAGGGGTCAGAGATTACTTATATTGAAAAAAAAATGAATAAACCCCAGTAGAGTTGAAAACAGAAAGTAAATTTTTGGTTGTTTCCCCCCCTATGTTCATATCAAACCCTTATGATAGAATTTGACATATTCATTTTTCTTCTTTTCCTGCCCTAAACATGCACCATGTTTGTCACAGTTGTCTTTTTATGAACAAATGGGTTTCGTCTGTTTGTTGAGTATTACTTTCATTTGTGGTATAAATTCCTCCATAACCACCAAAGGAAAAGAATGAAACTCCACACTGAGATTCTTGAGGCAAAGTGAACTACTTGGGAATATATGGTACACATTGCAATCATTTGGTAATCTCCTGATTGGCTTTATAGTACTTTTAATGATACAAATTAGTCAGGATTGCAGTCTGTGGAATCTGTGTTTATGTTCTTAGTTTATATTCTACTCAGTTCTATCCTTTTGATGTTTTCTAGCTCTTTAAAGACTTTTTTTTCCACTTACAGATTTTAAAAGGCCAGGAAATATATTTTCTGAACCTCTCTTCTTTGACAAACACATAATAGAAAGACTTCTGTTCACACAAACACACAAATTTTAAGCTCACACATGAGCCTCCATTGACACTGTGAATTCAGGTGCCTCCAGAAAAGGGAAATCTAATAATGTTTGGTGTGTAAATTGCTTCTATAGAAATATTGATTTGTAAAACCTTGACTCCAGTTCAGCCTCTTCACATGACTTAAATCCCAAATCTCAAGACGTGAATTGACTAAAATTTGGATTGGTGGTTGTTCCTGCAGATTGTTCCCCTTTGGGACTGGGTCTGAGAGAGAGGGAAGCTCTGAGAGGTGGTTTTGCCAGATCTCTGCAGAACAGGGGCTATGGCTCTGGCCTCAGGATCCACACAACATTGAGCTCATCTCCAGAGATGGACAGAACCTTAAGGGCCGTTAGGAGATTTCCTGTCTGCTCCTTTTCCCTACTCCTCTAAGTCAAGAGGTTGCCCCAGAAGAGGATATTTGTTCACAACATATTTTGAAGCACAGAAAAGAACTCCTAGAGAGGAGTGTTTCTGCCTTGAAATCAGGGTGTTCAGCTCCTATATAATTTGCACTAAAAGGAAGTGTAGTAGCTTGGACTTAATGTCTGAATAAATCAGTGCTTGCAGATCCGATCACATCCCAGTGGTCCAGAGCATGAACTGAATGAGCTGTAACTGTGTCTGTACCTGGTCATGTAGCTGTGCCTCTGGTAGGGACACACACCCATATCTAGCCCTTTCCATTACTGTGGCTCACTTTGCCAAAGCTCTCTCTGTCCCCATTTTCTGCCTGGGAGGAGGTCACTAACAGAAAAGATCCAGGTAACAGTAAGCTGCAGAACATCTTCAACAATGGGAACTGAGATTCACACTAAATATTCTGTATTTGCAGGAAGGACTGAGAATGCTTGTTTCAAGAGATCTAGATTGCACTAATACCGTGTACATTCAGTTTTCATTTAAATTTATTGCCAAAGGTAAGATCACTGATGATTTCCTATCACTTCTCTAGCTTTATTAGTATGGAGTAGTATCCCAGAAAAGAGTAAGGATTTTCGGTTTGTACATGTACATGATCATTAGTTTATGGTAGATTATGATGTTGATAGAGAGAGATAGATATGGTAGATTTGGGTACAAACTGAAGGAGGGGAAATTTAGGTTAGATATTAGAAAAAAAGCTTTTTCCTCTGAGGGTGGTGAGACACTGGCACAGGTTGCCCAGAGAGGTAGTAGATGCCCCAACCCTGGCAGTGTTCACAGCCAGGTTGGATGAAGCCTTGAGCAACCTGCTCTGGTGGGAGGTGTCCCTGCCCATGGCAGGGGGTTGGGACTAGATGATCTCTAAGGTCCATTCCAACCCCTAAAATTCTATGATTATATGGCAACTTGTTTGAAATTTTGCATCATCCCTACCTTGCTACCAGCCTGCATAGCCATCTGTGCAGTTCCTAAGAAAAAAGTAAACTGTGGTGGTGTCAAAACCAGCACAGCTAGTACAGTGTTTGGGCAGAAGAGAAACAAAATAGCTCAAGAGTTTTTAGAGATTTTCCATTATGGTGAAAAAAAATATGAATTTATCAGTTTTTAGGTCATACAATGGTGCCAACAGTAAATTACTTAAGGGATGGATAGGGAACTACAGGGTTTTCATTTTCAAGCTTCAATCCACTGCATTAAAAGCTTTTACTGTTTGACTGCTTAGTAAGTATCTTAGAGATGACTGAAGCTCCACAAATCTATTTAATTGAATATGAAGAGTAGTCAGACTTTGCAAGACAAGTTTACACGTTGGCGTAACAAGCTTGGGACAGTTTCTCTAGTATAAGAACTTTGAAGCCAATGATTCAGTCTTACCCTGCTCCAAGCCCCTGCCATCTATGACTTTGTGAAATAATCTTATCCAAGTCAGGAGCAACATGATGGAGAACCATTAACCTGCTTGAGGGTTTGAGTCACTGCCATGCAATTTCAGTTTTGCCCAGCATTGCTTGTAGAATTGGCACAGTAGACTGAACTCTGAGCATGTAAAGGCTCCTCCCCCTTTGGTGGAAGGAAGACATCCTTAGCTCAGAGCTCTTGGGACTGGACCCTAACTGACTTGCCATTTGCCAACAATAGCTTGAAAATAATTTTGAATGACCTTTTTCTTCCTAAATCTCTTTAAGGACAAATAAAAATGTAGCTCTTTGGGAATTATGATTGATTTCCTTTTTAGGCATTTAATCACATATATTTGGCTATTTATTACTATTTTTAGTACTTTATCAAAAATAGAGAAAACAATAACAACCAAAAACATTACATGCCAAATATTTCATGTTTATAACAAAATCTTTGTGAATCTTTTTACAAAACTATGCCCCAGAAATATTTTTGCAAATTATTATTGTCTAAATATTGAAAAATAAGGTCAATAAAAATGTCATTCTGAAAGGCAGGAATGACCAAAGGCTCCAGGCTGGATTTTGACACTTGGCCCACAAGGAGTAAGGCCTTGAAACTCCAGGATAAATCATTTCTCATTAAATCTGTATGACTTGTTAGCCCTAGGCTTGGATCCAGGACTTAGTCCCAACAAGCTCCATAATGGTGAATGCAAATTAATATAGCTGAGCACATCTCTCAACTGTAAGTGTTAAGAGCAGTGTGATGTTTACTGTTGATTGCCACAGATAAGCTGAAATCAGCTCCTGACTGCAAACATCTCTTCCACACGCAGTGGTTGAAGAGAGATTTTGCATTGGAGCAGAGGGGAGCAGGAGTGTGTGCATCAGGCGCTTTGGTTTCAAAAAATTTGATTAATTTAAGAACAGAACATGGGAGAAATTTGCACAGTAATGTGCACTGAGTCAGGGGTGAAGAAACTGTCCCTTAACCATTTTCTTTTGCTAGTTCTTGCTCTCAGACTGAGTTTTTGGGAACATGCCATCACTATGAAGGGAGTGGAGAGTTTATTTGTCTGAGTGAGAACTCAGCTCAGAGATATCATCACTTGGACACTCATATTCTTGGTCAGCAAGTTAGGCACAGGTCCAATATATGCTGGGGCTGAGCTTGTACAGGGTAACCAGCATCAAGTGGAGTGCTGGGCTCTAATTAGCATGTGTTAATAGCTAGGGCTGTAAAGTCTTTTTTTTCACTCTTTAAAGCTCTAAGTTAAAAAAAAAAGGAAGAGCTGGTAGTTAAATATGCAAATTTTACTGTCAGTTCCACTGATTTTTAGGCCCAGCTTAAAGCACATAATATTGCTGCTTTGTTGTTAAAACATGCTATTAAAACATCTGCAGTGCTTTCCATCATTTGTATGATTTCTGGGCATGAATATGCTCAGAGCAGTGTCTGCAGTCAGAGCCATCGACTATAAATTTGTGAGGACTGTGTCTTTATCTGTGGGCACTACAGATGGTGATGATAATGTCTGGTACCTGGGCAAAACAAGCAAATAAATATACTGGAAAATGTCTGTAGTAAAAGGGACTGGTTTGTTCTAATCTAAAAAACTATAATACTGAGATAGCTTCTAAGTAACTAACTGTGACCATACCTATAAGGAACAGCAATGTAAATTGAGGCCTTAATTCATTAGCATTTTGCATGCAGACAAGCAAGAGAAAGGACAGAAAGATGTATATAACATCTCAGCTGCTTAAGTTGTTAAAGGAAGCCCAAGCTTTGTAATAGATGTCAGAGAACCTAATTACATTTATACTTGCAGAAGCATTTTTGAGCTCACCAGATTTTAATGAACATAAATGCATGTCCTCTCTGCTCCAGGCACCCCTGAGAGGTCTCATTCCATCCTGCTGCAATATTCTGTCAACGGTGGCATCACTTGGCACCTGATAGATGAGTTTTACTTCACACAGACTACAGATGTTCTCTTTATTAACGTTCCTCTGCCCTATGCGGCCCAAAGCAACGCGACACGGTTCAGGCTCTGGCAACCTTACAACAATGGTAAGGAAGAGACATCCATGGGAATCCAGGTCCACACTTGCACAGCTCAGCATCTGTGAGAGGCTGGGTTGTTTTGAACTGAACAATTATAGAGACTCTTAAATCATGGGGCTTTGTGTTTGAACTCCTTCAACTGAAATTACCACCGGATTATGTTTACTGCTCTTCTAAAACTGCTGTATGCTTTGAAGTGAAAACACCTTCACCTGATATCCCTTGATTGTGCCTAGAAGACTCAGAGGGAGTGGGAGATCAAGCAACACCAATGAAGTTAACTTCATTCAGGTTCTCATTATTTTTAATGGACCTGATTCTCATTTACACTGAGGCCCCATTAGGAAGCTCCACTTACACAAAAGTGTCCCAAGTGTAAATGGGAACTGGGCCTACCTTAATCAGGATTAACTAGGCATTAAAAGCCCATTTAGCAAGAGTATGTAGTGAGCAGTTAATCTTTTGATTGAACTGTAAAGGACTAGAAAACCACAAGAGGAACGCAGCTCATTCCTCCTGATTACAGGAGATGTGCCAGCTGAAGAAAGTTCTTCCCTGCTCTGTTACTCTGAGCACATTTCTTAGCAGAAACTGATATTAAGGGCTCTAAAAAATTCCAGCAATCATTTACACATGGTGATACAGCAACAATTTATTCCATGCAGACAAATTCCTAGCACATCTCTAACAAAAAAAAGCAAATTCACATCTAGTCCTGACATTCCATTTCCAGATCATTCTTCTGATTTGTCCTGCCTAAAACAATTATCTAAACTTTTCTCACCGACATTATCCCTAAGTAGGAATATTATTTAAAAGAAGACTCTTAAATTTCTCTGATCAACTAAAACACTTTTAGATAGATGGAAAGAAGTTACACAAAACAATCTGTCAGTCTAAGCCTTCCTCTGTAGTTTGAAAATACCAATTTTCTGACATATACGAATACATAACCCATTGGAGAGAAGGTCACTCAGAGTTTCCTTCTTTCCCAAAGAGGTCTTGCCAGGCAAGCACAGGCTGTTGAGTGCAAGGAAAGAGGGTAGAATGAAATTAGCTCTCAGGCTGCTTGGGCTCTGTAGCAACTGCTCATTTAGATGATTCTTGACTGAACACGATGCTGATGATAGATTTTCAAAGTGAATGTGATTTAAATAGAAAATAATTGTTCAACACAGGTTTTTCACTCTTTGGTTTGCTGTGACTTCTCTAAATTCTAGGGGACTAAAGTTAATTCTCTAGGGTCAGGCTGCAGAGCAGTATGGCTGCTTGGGCTCTGTAGCAACTGCTCATTTAGATGATTCTTGACTGAACACGATGCTGATGATAGATTTTCAAAGTGAATGTGATTTAAATAGAAAATAATTGTTCAACACAGGTTTTTCACTCTTTGGTTTGCTGTGACTTCTCTAAATTCTAGGGGACTAAAGTTAATTCTCTAGGGTCAGGCTGCAGAGCAGTATGGGGACTATTTTCATGGAAACTGGAAACTTTCTAGCTTCCATTTTCATGGAAAATGAAAGTAGTGAAGCCTCTTCTCCACACAATCCATAAATACTCTTTGCTATTCTGCTCTCTAATAATAGTAGCATTAGGTCTTAATATTTCCCTTTCCTTTGTAGGCAAAAAAGAAGAAATCTGGATTATTGATGATTTCATTATTGATGGAAATAACCTAAAGAATCCCATTATCCTTTTGGATACCTTTGACTTCGGTCCTAAAGAGGACAACTGGTTTTTCTATCCTGGTGGAAACATTGGGCTTTATTGCCCATATTCATCTAAAAGAGCTCCGTAAGCATCTCTCAGCAATACATTAGAAAGAAGTGACTGCAATAAACTGAGTCTGAAGTACTCCTTTCCTTTATTCACAGAGAAGAAGATTCAGCTATGGTGTTTGTTTCGAACGAAGTTGGAGAGCACTCCATTACCACGAGGGACCTGAGTGTGAATGAAAATACTATCATCCAATTTGAGGTACTTGTCCTCAGAAACTTATTTTGCCTTTTGCTTCATGAGTTCTGTTCTTCCTTGTTCTGCTCTTTGGTGTATTTGCCCAGCTGTTATGACTGACAAGTAGAGAAGCCTGTCTAATTTCCCCTCTGAATGCTTTGACATTACTTTCCCTCATGTGGGTGTATCATGATTCTTTTAATACACAGACAAGGGAAATTTCTGTCTTAAAGTCTTCTGCTTTCTACTACAAATTACTACTTTGTCCATGCCTATATACTTGCACTGATAGCATTAAAGTCCACATCCTGTGAGTCAGAGAGTCAGCACTGGCAAGCAAGATGATGAGCAAAATATAATGAGCATCCAGATTGCCACTTCACAAACTGCTCAGGATAAAAGTGCAGCATTTCCATGATCTGACCCAGTGGAGAGATACAACTTCATCTGTGACAGTAGAAGTTAATTTTTCCTACCTGCTGGCTTAATCGCACTGTTGTACTTTCTCTGAGAGTCGGGGTTCTACTTTCCTTTTGCTTCTGTCCATGCTTGCAGAGATGTTCTAGATGAAGCTGTTCCTTGGCTATGAAGGCCTGAAGTCATCCCATCTTAAGGAGTTCTCTAAAGCTCATGAAGAAGGAACATATTTTTTGTGTTTCTTATATACTCAGTGGAAACAAATACCCCAGAAAGCACAGAGTCTAAACTAAACTGTACTTCTAATTTATCCTAAAATCTAAACTCTGCATTGGCTAAGGCAGCTACTGATGGGAGTAACCAATTAGCCTAGTATGCATTAGTTTGGAGAAGTCATTATATTGTCATTAAGAAATTGTAAAAGATTCTGGCATGTAACTTGCTATGCCACAATTACCAGGCTGCTTTAAACTAAGGTGTATCATGCTGTAGCATCAAACAGCAAATGATATGAGTTTATATACAATTACTAAAATGATACTAAGGGTTTTCCAAGAAAAGTAGGTTTAGCTGTGTACTCATGCACACTTCAGTTTGTCATGCAACTGCTTCATAAATTATTGAATGCAAACCATTTTCTGTTTTAAAATATTGATTACAGCCTGTAGAACAAAAATGTTTGAGGTCACTTTAAGATATTCATAAGTCTTCAGAGCATTAACCTCATAAAATCTACATGTTTACTTCCATATGTGGTAAGAACATCGTTTTCAGCTCACGTTTTTGAGAACATTAGTATAAATGAAGGAGTTATGCATAATGCAGTAGAGTTTCTCTCTGTGTCTCAAGAGTCAAAACCTATATTGGGTCAAGCATCTTTCTAAGCTTCCAGATGAGTAGACAATCCCTCTAGTCAAATGTAGGTTGATGGGACTCATGTGCACTGAAGAGTGATGAAGGAAATTCGATGTAGGATGCACTTCCAACATTCATGCTCAGTTCCAAGTATTACTGGGTTTTAGAAATAAGCAGATTTTCTTTACAGAACAGCATGTTAGAAAGACACTTATTTTTCTTGCTACTAAGATATGTAAAACCCAAAAATGTTTCATAGTTTTTGTAGAGGCTTTGTATTTCATCACCAATGGGGTTTTGTTTATTGCATGGTAAGTATAGTACATCTTATCAGAGTCATCCTGGAAAGGAACTAGTTCATCTTTTATATAAGCAATGTGAAACTCTAAGAACGTCTTAACTTCAGTGTAAAGGAAAAGCAGACTAATTTTCACTGGTTGAACGCAGAAAATATGTCTTAGAATCATAGGATCATCAAATTTGGAGGAGACCCCTAAGATCATCAAGCCCAACCATTAACCTGCCACTCTGCTGGAACCCCTAAACCCTAAACCATATCCTCCAGTGTCAGATCCAGAGGCCTCTTACACAATTCCAGGGATGGTGACTCCACCCCCTACCTGGGCAACCTATTCCAGTGCCTGACCACCCTGACTTTTGTCCTAACATCTCATCTGACTCTCCCCTTTCTCAGCTCAAGGCCATTCCCTCTAGTCCTCTCCCTGTAGCCATGGCAGGAGAAACCATCCCCTAGACTCCCCCTTAAGACTTTAGGGTCTTAAGACCTTAAGAGGTCTCAGATTTTGTACAAAATATTTTGTATTTTTTCAGTAGTAGAACTGGTATTCATGTAAGCTTTTTGCCTTTTCTATTGTTGTCTACATCTGGAATCTTGTAAACACACCCTGAGAAGTCTGATACCACCAAACTAAGTTTTGGTGTGACACTGAAACCAAATCCAATCCAGCCATGGTACTATGTCCTAGGGGTTTACCTTTTTACATGAACTAATGGGTAGTGAGTATGAAAGTTGGACATACTGAGGTGATGCAGCACACATCCTGTGGCATAAAGTGTCTTAGGGGTTTACCTTTTTACATGAACAAATGGGTAGTGAGTATGAAAGTTGGACATATTGAGGTGATGCAGCACACATCCTGTGGCATAAACTTTCTCCTTCTTTTTGGTGGAGGGGAAGTGCAACATTAAAGAGGACCATAGTGTAGCTCAGCAGTTTAACAAAAAAGTTTATGTTTGCACTTTTTGTTTTAATATTTCTGGTTTTTAAAATGCACTGGTTTTTTGGTGCTGTGATTACTTCAGTACCTGCCAGAGGACTGCAAGAGCTAATGCATTTGCTCCAGCAATGTTAGCAGCTCTCCTTTGGGATTTTGTCCAATTAACTTCACTGTTTTCTCTCTGTAGAAGTAGTTGGGAATTTCATATCACATTCATTTTATTCTAAGTCAGACTGTGATATACCCATGGACAGAGGGCCGATGTGCAAGAGTTCATGTTCATGTACATGAGTGCATCATCCCAGTTGTTAATTGAGTTCCCAAATCATCATTTTCCTGGGCTAAATATACACCATACCAAATGGGGGAGGCTGACTATGATGAGGAGTGATTAGGAATCCCATAGTCTGCCCTGTGTCATCCTCTGCATTTGATGTCTTGGCCCCTAGATCAATATTGGCTGCACCACTGATAGCTCCTCTGCTGACCCAGTGAAGCTGGAGTTCTCACGAGACCTGGGGGCAACTTGGCACCTGCTGCTGCCCCTGTGCTACAGCAGCAGCAGCCACCTCAGCTCCCTCTGCTCCACTGAGCATCACCCGAGCAGCACTTACTATGCAGGCACTACCCAGGGCTGGAGGAGGGAGGTCATTCACTTTGGAAAACTGCACCTCTGTGGGTAAGTGTCCATCTTCTGTTCCTGTCCAGCTGCTTGTTGGTTTGGTTTTGTTCTCCCAGCACAAGAGTGGTGCATAAGAACAGAGGCACTAGAGCAGACCAGATGACCAATTTCTCTCTGCTTTTTGCCCCAAATGTTAGCTAGTGTTCAGGTGATTCCCCGAAATATATTGTGCCTGATGCTAACGCAGAATAACCACAGGTAATTTCCTGTTTTTCCATATATTTAATTGGTGACTTCTTTATGGGAGTGGGTTGCATGGTAAAATGAGTGAAAAACTGACTGTTCTTGAAGTGTTTTGAGTGTTCTTTGCAGCACTGCATTAGCCCTTTGAATCCACCAATTATATTCTTGCATGAAATTTGAGCTTCATTAGAAAATGCAGTAAAATGTGATCTAGTATAAACTTTATTCTACTTCAGTGTGAGGAAATGGTCTGATCTAAGTGCTCACCGTCTCGTGTGGCTGCAAAGTTCTCTGGTTCTAAGATATTACCTGCTGCAGTTGCTAGAAACTGAAAGTTTATGGAACAAACCAGGTTGGATGATAATACATAGCACAGAAGAACAGTACGTGCCAGCAGGCATAATAATATGCAACTTTTCAAAGTAAAACCACTACTGTTTACTTTTTCAGGGAAAACTGTCTCCCAGCATTAACTCACTCTATGTAAAAGATCACATCATTAATGATTAAACTGTAGCATGTATGAATGAAAATGAGCTGTGCAACTAGGAGGCTTTATGAATCTATGCAACTATGAGACTGAGTACTTAGGAAACTACTGCATGCAATGGGCCCAGCACTAAATAAGTAACCCCATACATGCTGCTGAAAGTATGAAAAGACCTATATAAGAGATGAGAACCAAGTTTGGAAAGCTTGGATGTTTAATAATTTAAGGAAATGTTTAAATTTTAAACTTGAATTTTCTGGTTTGTGACAGTTAACATTTCAAGCATGGAATAGGAATCACTTGCAGCAGCTCATTTGTGCTTCTGATTTTGGGCAAAAGAATTATTTCACCCTTTACCCAGCCATCAATGCATCCCTCCAAATGAAAATTTTGACTACATAGGCTCCTGACTCATTTAAACCTTCCAGGTGTTTTGATTTAGTCCTCTGTTCCTGAGTGTTTCTGTCCTGTTTCCTGCTTTCCCTCCTATTCCTTCCCCAACACATGTGATAGCCAACCAAACCCAGCAGTGCAGAGTAGCTTCCATGGAGCATTCAGTGCATGAAATTCTTGGGCCAGAGGGCTCAAGGAGGATTTTCTCCACCATAATCCACTGGAATAATAGGAAAAAGAAGCCACCCAACCTGACTCCTTGTGTAATTCTTAGAAAAAAAAATCCCAGTCCTTCATCCCCAAAGTGTCAAGTGGTTATATTTAAATAAAGAGAAAGACATTTTCAGTTATTTCCACTACATATGTAATTTTAGAAATCAATATATGTTCTCAGCAGACAGCTGTAAGAATTAGTATTCCAGTTATGTTCTGAAGGTAGAGCCCAGAACCTGCTGAGCCAGAGAAGAAACCCCAAATGACTTCAGCAAGGCCACTAGTTCACTCTGCTTCAGACATGAGTTGTGCTTCACCCTAGCCAGGAGTGAGCCTGAGAGAAGGAGCTGACATGTCTCAGGCAATGAATCCAGCCCGTGGGGCAGAAATCTGCTCTCAAGAGGAGCTTACAACACCTCCAGCCTTGCCCTTGTGTCCTTCACCTCAGAGTGCACTAAAGTCAGTAATTTTGACTTAGAATCATGGAATCATTGAGGGTGGAGGAGACCTCTGAGACCATAGAGTCCAATCATTAACCTGCCACACTGCTATAACCACTAAACCCTAAAACAGCTACCCATACAATTGATCCACCTGCTGAATTTAGATGTCTTTAACAAGACACATTAAACAGGCAAGGCAATTAAGTGCTTTTCCCTTCTCTTCTGGTTTCCTTCTTCCCTTAAAACATTTTCTCAGTTGGGAATAAAACTATACTCTTGAGTGTTTTTTCCCATCTCAGTTTGTTTTCCCTTCTTCCCCAGTCAGTTCCTTTTTATACACAGCATTGATGTGAGTAGCACTTAGGAAGAGAATTAAAAATGATACGACAGCACCCAAAGGAGGATGTAGTTTAAATTAACAACTTGCAGTATCAGTCTGGATTAAGATTAAGCTGCCCAAAAGCAAACTGAATGCCTGGTGACATGACGGATCATGTTTTCTTTCTGTGTAATTGAGGGTGAGATCCTACCACTCCACCTCCACAGGTGATCTCCCTGGGGGCAGGATGGAAGCATGAAGTAGGATTTCACTCTCCAGGAGAGGGTGAAAGTAACCTGGTCTGACCCAACCATTGCACACCAAAGCAGAAGGAAATCCATCAGATCGTGGCCGTTCATCCTCCCCATGAACAATGGAGAGGAGAGTGGTTAGATTTTAAATCTTGAAAATCAAGTCTGTCATTATGTTTTGGTATTGCAACTAATAACTAAGGTTATTTTTATTTCCATCAGTGCTTGGTTTGGATGTCAACATAAAGATGCATGAGGTGCTGAACAAATTAGATCTAGCAGTCAGTTTCTAGAATTAAGCTATTTATCAAGCCAGTTTCAACAGCAAGAATAATATATACTCATAGTACGGTGTATCTATGGACTGCAAATACACTTACAAATACAAATACACTTTATGCCACTTTCAGGTTGGCAAGATTCCGGTGGTACCAAGGATTTTACCCTGCTGGATCCCAACCTGTGACTTGGGCCATCGACAACGTGTACATCGGCCCCCAGTGTGAGGAGATGTGCAACGGGCACGGCAGCTGCATCAACGGCACAAAGTGCATCTGTGACCCTGGCTACTCTGGGCCAACCTGCAAAATAAGTACCAAGAACTCTGACTTCCTCAAGGATGATTTTGAAGGTACCTCTTTTTGGGAAGAGGTCTGAATTCTGCCTGTGCATCTTAGTGGGTTCAAGGGATTAAACAGCAAAGCCTTCCTCACTCCTGTATGAATGTAATTTACGCTGAGAGGGTATTCCCACAAACCAAGTAGTTAGGATGTCATTCTTGAGCATAGCTTGTGAATGTGTCATTAGTGCTGGAATACAAAATCTTAATTGAAACAAAATTTCCTGAAACTCTATGGTTAGAAAATAATTTTAGAAGAAAATTAAGTTTTGATGGGTACAAATTGTACTGTGTGCAGATTGAAAGAGGGGAAATGTAGGTTAGAGATTAGGAAAAAGTCTTTTCCTGAGAGGGTGGTGAGACACTAGAACAAACAGGCAGTAGGTGCCCCAACCCTGGCAGTGTTCACAGCCAGGTTGGATGAAGCCTTGAGCAACCTGCTCTGGTGGGAGGTGTCCCTGCCCAGGGCAGGGGATTGGGACTAGATGATCTGTAAGGTCCATTCCAACCTCTAAAATTCTGTGACTCTATGGTAGTTTGACTTTATCACAGACAGAACACATGCAAGTGAGGCAAACCATGGAGAGCTTTAAGGATGTATTTTTTCTCACAACAAGAGAAATCTAACTACAGCAAACACAGTTTCAGAAAAGCCTCAGTGGTGGGAGCCACCACTCAGCAGCCACAGCAGACCCCAGGAGATGGCAAGAGGGAACTCAAACCCTCATGCATGCCTGGGCACACACAGAATCCACACACACAACTCTAAAATCCCCTTGAGGTTTCCCCCACTAGCAAGCACAGCAAGAAGAGCATGTTTTGAATAAAGCAGCACCTGGGAACCAAACTCATCCCTTCATTCATTTCAAAATGTTTGTTTTAAATGTTTCCAGCCCTTTCTAGCTTGTTGCCACATGGTACCCAAAGTTTCTTTATAGACCTGAGTACTTTATCTTCAAAACATAAAGAAAAGTGGAAAACCTTGTGAATAACTGGAAAAGATCCCAGATTTCATACTTTTGGGTTTGTTTTGTTTTGATTTGTGTGTCAGCTTTCTAGAATCCATGGAAACACTGAATATTTCTTCAGTGAGCATGTGATTTTTAATTTCTCTCTCTTCCACTGGAAGTAGTACTGTTGCAGTAGGAGCACTTTGGAGTCAATCATGAATATGTATTCACTGTGCATTCAGGTCAGCTGGAGTCGGATAGATTCCTCCTGGTGAGTGGTGGAAAGCCCTCAAGGAAATGTGGTATCATGTCTGGAGGGAACAACCTGTTCTTTAATGAAGAAGGCTTACGCATGCTGATGACTCGAGACCTTGATTTGTCACAAGCCAGGTAACACCACTTCCAAGTTCTCTCAGGATTTCATTGAGGAAATAATATACTGAAGAGTAACAAATATGTGATACTTCTGTGGTAAAGGCAAGCTGACATGTTCTGTGGTCTTGATGCTAGTAAATACTCCAATTTAACCACTGTTACCATTTTAAGTCAGATTTAACTTGGACTTTGATAGGATTAACCATTTAAAAGTTACTTTTTTTCCACACCTTCAGTAGTTTAAGCAAGTTTTTATTTCTCAGATCCATAACAGGAGAAATCAATTGCATGTCACATGCTCTACTTGTCTTACAGTCTGGTGTATTAAGAGCCATTGCTGAAACAGGAATATCTGCTGAAAGTATAACTCGTACATTTGTCATCTCATAATTCTTCCCTTTCTGAATCTTGCTTTCTCCTCATTGTGCACATTTGTTTCCAATAACTCACGGAGAAATTCCCATCAAGCTGTCACCAGCTACACTGAGCACAGCAATTGAGAACCAAATATTTCAGTGTATTTAGAGATTATGTTGTGTCGTTGCAGCATGCAGAGAGATATTTAATGAGTGAGACATGCTAAGCAAGCCACACTAAAAAAAATTACACTATTATAAATTAAACCCCATCCTAATTGTGAGCATGCTAACATACAGGCATTGTTTTCTAATTTATTCAGTACTTTGGAGAGATTGCATTTTCTCCAAGTCTCTTGTAAACACCCTACTCCTATAACATTCTGTGGGAAACACTTTGACAGGCATTTTAGCTGTTTTTTACTTGTCTGCAGTCATACTGAAGCTTTAAATAATGGTTTACTTGCAGAGCCTCATGGTCAATAAAGATGTCAAATATTCAACCATTGAATTTTTCAGATCAGCACTTAGCTAACCTTCAGTGATGTGTAATATTAAAAATCCCTGTACTTTGTAAGATTCCACACAGCAAACTTTTTTTCAGGACTCAGTAAACACAAACCTGAGTTCTCTGCACTGATTTGATTGCCTAGACCATTCTGAAATGGAAAGGTTGTTTAAGAAAAGATACAAGAGATCTTGTAAGTTGCTCCATCAGCCTAAATGATGTTTTCCTTATTGCTCATGTTCAAAGAACATGCATTTATCTCTTCTCCATGATAGTCTGTAGCTGGATTTGCATATATAGACCTCAAGGTGTTATATGGAGATAAATTACTTCTGTCTCAGGAAAACAAAGCAGTACGTTCAATTTCTGGTATATACTTATGGAAAAATAGCAGTTATCCACAAATAACTGTGTGTTCCCTTCTGAACAGCCAGGCAGGCTGCAGTGGTGCTGCTGGGAGCTGCTCTTTAGCAGCCTAAAGTAATTGTGGTAGGATTTTCTTAATTTCCAGACTCACTCTGTCAGCCACCTGCAAAGAAACAGCAGATCTGGCTGTGACACAGATGTGCCAGGTTCTGCACAGGACTTGGGGAGAGTTTTAAGTTTATGCCAGGGATTATGAGAACAAGCATTTTACAAAGAGGGTTGGACTCAGAAGTCACATTAAACCCTCCCCTTTCCTTATGAGGAGATCCCCTGAAGTACACAGTTGTAGTCTTGTCTGTCAGTGCTGCAAGCCACACTCAGTACCTGGGGATTGAAACCAAGTGGGCTCTGCAATCCACTGTCCACTGCTGTCATACCTTATGTTAAAGGATTTAACACAGGGGACAGTATATCAGTGATACCAGTAGCTGAAATTGCACAGCATGATGTATCAGTAGGGACAGAATATTTTAGGTATATCAAATCCCTTGCAATTCTGAATTGCTAGAAGAATAGCCATACATTTTATTGTTACTAGATTTACAAATAAAACCTTTGCTTTTCTGTTTCAAAATGGGCAGAGCCTTTTCAAAATGTCTGTGGGATGAGAAGAGAGATATTTAAAATCTTTTTTTTTTTTAAGCTGCTAGACGTTGTTACCTATAATTGAGTGGGTTATTACTATATTAGGGAAAATTGAGATGAAAGAAGAGCAATGCACAGAAAGCAAGTGCAACAGAGACAAGGTCACCTGGGTTTATTTCCTGTGAATTATGTGGCGAATGTTGGAGTAAATCTGAGGAGGCAGAAAGACTTGCCAGCAGTGAAGAAAATCCATTACAGTTGATATGTTGATCCATGGGGTACCCAGTGCTCCTTTACAGCACAAGCAGTATGTTATGTCTGGGACATGGAGGGGGATATAAACTAGAGCAAAAGGAGTTATATATAGTAGCAAGAGAAACTGTGAGTCGCAGTGAGGACTAGAATTAATTGACTCTGGCCTGGTGTTTTATTGAAGCTTTGTCTGCCCAGTACCTCTGCAGCCTCCACTCCCAGTGGATCTACCTGCACATCAAACCAGAGCAAAACTTCTTCTTTGCCTTTTCATTTAACTGTGAGCCAGGCAGCACTAATGCAATAATAATTAGAACAGATACAACCCTCTAAACCTGTGCAAAAGCTGTGCAAACATGAATTAATACTTGTAATATCCCTACAAGTCCAATAAGTAAATATCATTACAGCAGCAGTTCCCTCCACTCCAAGTGCATAGTGGAGCTATTTATGAGCATCAGCCAACGGGAAGAATTTCACAGTTTGATACAAGTCTATTGTGCTGCTTTGGAGAAGCCAATTAACTAGGGGATGAAAGCAGTGCTGTCCCTGGGTGGCTTGGGTTGGCTTCAGGGAAGGCAGTACATTTATAGGGTGTGATTTAGACAAATTTCCCAGGCTGACTAAATGGGCAAAATGATCCCTGAAAGTGATATGTGCTTTGTTCTCCTGTCCAGATTTTCTCTGGTTTATGCCAATGGAAAACGGGGATGCTTATTCTGAATTTAAGCATTTCAGCAAATTCGTAGCAAATTATGATCTCCTTAGAGCATAGTTGCTTTTCTGCCACTAAAATCTGTACTCACGGGATACAGGGATAAAAATTTCACCCAGGATTATGTTTCTGATACTTGCAGCACCATCTGCTATACAGACAAAAGCTCAAAACATAAATGACCAGCTTTGCTCAGCCTCTTAGGGCTGGCAAAATGCCACACAGGCAAAATGAATTTTTGTCATTCCACCTGTCTGTCTAATTATATTCTGGAACCTTTGAAAAGGAAATCATAAGATCTCCTAAAGCTGAGTCATACAGCAAGAAATCACAGAGCTGGTCAATAGACAAATTCCAAGTCTCTCTAGTTTGTTGTGTAGGATGTTGTAGAAAATAAATCTTTCCAGTAAGTGCTCCCCCTGTTAGATTTGTGCAGTTCTTCATGAGACTGGGATGTGGGAAGGGGGTCCCTGACCCCAGGAGCCAGCCCGTGCTGCTGCAGTACTCACTCAACGGGGGCCTCACGTGGAGCCTTCTCCAGGAGTTCCTCTTCAGTAACTCCAGCAACGTGGGACGATACATTGCCCTGGAAATTCCCTTGAAGGCTCGTTCCAGCTCCACTCGGCTCCGCTGGTGGCAACCATCGGACAATGGGCATTTCTACAGCCCCTGGGTGATCGACCAGGTGAGGAATCCTTGGCCTGTGTTTATTTTAACACAGCTTTCGACTGTTTTTTTTTAAAATGTTTCCCTTTTGTTGGCGTGTATCATTTCACTGAGATGAGCAAAAATGCTTTGTATAAAGATACTTAGAGCACAATTCCTGTTTGCTGATCTCATGTTTTTAATGCACCACCTCCATGCAGGGTACTGAACACCTATTTTGAAGCTGGGAATGTCTTTTAAATGTGGGTAGAACCTCAGGTTCACATTCCAGAAAGCCTTACCATGGAAAATGCAAGCCTGATTTCAGACTTCAAAAACCTGCATTTAGAATGGATCCAAATATGGAATTGGCTTGGTAAAATGTAATAGAAAAAAACCCAACTATAGAAAAATATCAATATCTATCTTCTAATTTTGAAAGAAAAGTTTTGAACCCAACTATAGAAAAATATATTTGTCTTCTAATTTTGAAAGAAAAGTTTTGTTTCATATTTGGGATTTGCTATAAAGATTATTATATTACTTTTATGACTTGGTGTGAATCACAAGGAACCCAAATAAGAGCTCTAAGTAGTGTTAATGGACTGTCCAAGTTCAACTTACTTGAATATTTATTAATTTTTTTAAATAAATTAGTTCAGATTGTTAGGAGAAATCCCCACACTTTGATGTTTTGGTCGCAAAAGTTTCCTTCCCATCCCTCCTTTTAGAAATTAAAAAAATCCTCATTCTTTCATTCCTGTATCTTCATCAAATGTAGTTATACTAGTTCAGAAAACTAGTTTGGAATAACCAATGAAAATTAATTCTGCCTTGCGTGCTGTTGAATATTAAATGCTGATGTCTTATAATCAATGGCAAAACAGAGGCTATTTCCCCACTTCTATCAGCAGGTGCAAGCTGAGAGCAATGCACCAGATTATAGTAGAGCTGAACTGTCAATAGGAATAAAACAGTGCCCTTTGCTCCTACTAACATTCATTTTTGTGAGCAGTTTTACTTCATCCAGGATGGAGTTCACCTCCCTGAAATTTAAATTTGTATAGCTGAGACAATCTCTTCTCCTTTTTGGAAAAGAGATATTCTCCTTTCTCATAACTCTTTACTAAGTAAGTTTAGCCATTTTGGACCAGCAGAATATATACACCTAGACCAGTACATCGCTTCCTCCCCCAGGATGCAATCTCACATATATGTTTGTAAAGACTTCTAGACATTTTTTGTTTTCAATAACAATTCTTCTCCTAATGTTTCAGATTCTCATTGGAGGAAATATCTCTGGCAATACAGTACTGGAAGATGATTTCACCACACTGGATAATAGAAAGTGGCTGCTCCATCCTGGTGGCACGAAGATGCCAGTGTGTGGCTCTACAGGGGATGCTCTGGTGTTCATTGAGAAGGCTAGCACACGCTACGTTGTCACCACTGACATCGTGGTCAATGAAGACTCTTTCTTGCAAATAGATTTTGCAGCATCCTGCTCTGTCACAGACTCCTGTTATGGTAATGACTTTTTAGTAATTCTTGCCCTTCCTCTCCCTCTACTGTAGAGGAAAAGTCACTTGTTTTCTTGGTGCCATTATTCATCGTAACAAGAACTGAGAAATAAAAGAAAGCTGCATGTTCCCGTTAGAAATTGTACCATCAGCTTTTTTATTCTAGGTGTCTGAAGCTTAACATAAACTAAAGTATACTACTTCCCTCCAAGCACTTAAGCTGCAGTTCAATCCATTTAAGAAAAAGACTAACAGTTGCCTAACTCAAATCCATTTACCAGTGAATAGCATCCACTGCTTGGGGTGTTCTTGTGGTTCTAATACACAGCAGCTGGGTGTTCCCAGCATATGGTTCTTGCTTTGTGGTTTAGCATGAGTGGTGAGACACTGGCACAGGTTGCCCAGGGAGGTAGTAGGTGCCCCAACCCTGGCAGTGTTCAAGGCCAGGTTGGATGAAGCCTTGAGCAACCTGCTCTGGTGGGAGGTGTCCCTGTCCAGGGCAGGGGGTTGGGACTAGATGATCTCTAAGGTCCATTCCAACCCCTAAAATTCTATGATTTTCAGTGTAGTAAGTTTCAATTCTGATCTCACTTGTACCTATATATCTAAGTAATCATTTATTCCACTTACATCTGCCACATGCTAAGGCAGAATCAACTGCAAAAATGTGTATATATATGTCTGTACGAAATAATAACTGTGTAGATATATGTGTATCCATGTATAGGTTTATGCACACATAATAATGCCATTTTTAATTACCTAGGGTTTTTTTCCATATGATGACTACTGAGTGCAGAGAGAGCTTTTGTATGTGTGTATGTCCATATATACATACAGATAGACAAATAAATGAAAACATAATCTGTACTCAATACACATCACATGGAAATGAAAGTTGATTCATTATGTGAATTGTGAGGTGCTCAAGAACTAGGTCTCTCTAGCTTTTGAATGCTTGTTTGTACTTCTTACATTACATTCATTTAGGATAGGGTTTTGGGGTATAGACTTTTTTTATGAGGAGCAGAATATAATACTTTGCATCAGGTGGTATGTGTTAATTCACTGGGCCGCTGACTATTCCTCTAGAATTCTGCATAAACATGGAAAAAGATTTTACATGAAATTCCAGAAGTGGCTTCTCTGCTTTTGCTAACCTGAAGATGCTCACATGCTTAACAGCATTAAAAAGACTGCAGCAGCCTAAGATCATCTCTGCTGAGTTTAAAAGTGTTTTGGCAGCTGAGCTATTTACTAGCAAATAAACACTTCCTTCTTTTTTATTGCTGTTTCTTTGTTTACTACACTTACAATTATCTTAACTTCACATTGATTTAGGCAGGACACTACCTAATCATGCTTCCAGCCACGATGAGCAAAACGTTGCATTTTGGTGAGGGAGATTTAACACTAAAAACTCACTTACCCTTGTTTGTATCCACTTGTCCTTGTATTTCTATAGCACTGTCTTCTGTGCTGAAGCATCAAGTAGGACTGATTGGGTGATTAAGGGTCATTCCCTGTGCATGAGGGGAGAAGAAATGGGTCTGTAGTAATCAGGAAAAGATCACAGATTCATCACCCTGCAGCCAAGCTCAGTGTTTTACAGAGCCAGAATGCCTGGCAGCTGGAACATTTACTTCAAGTTACAGTCCTGTGCCTATTATTATTTATTTTTTAATGGCTGCCTGCGAGTTTAACTTGAAGAATTTAGTGAGCTTGACTAACCTTTATTTTTCGTAATAAAAGTTTATAAGCCATAAACATCAAAACAATGAAATTGCTGATTTTTGCTGAGGAATACATTAGTTTAGTGTGGCTAGGCTGTGTTTGAATAGAAACAAGCTCACTGACAAACAAACTCGAATTAAAATTGTTTAGGCTGGATTATGAAACAAGCTGGTCTGGAGGAGGGGTGGAAGATTGACTAAACCATCTGGTGGCAGAGCCAAAAGTTTGAATTTCAGTGTGGCTCTGCCTTATACAACAATTACATCCAGCAGAATCTCACCCTCCAGCCTGAAAAACAAAAACAGTGGTGGTTGTGGTGCTGTCACATCACTTTCTTGCATGCTGCAACTACAGAAATAGGCTGGCATAGTCCTGGCAACTTAACAGATGACTTTGTCATTGCACCCATGGTCCCTTGAGTTAGGTGGAGGATGCAGAGATGTGCTGCAGACTTCTCCTGAGCTATACCTGCCCAGCAACATGTAGTGTATCCTCCAGCACTGCCACCAAAGGAGGTAGCTTTGTGCTTCTGTCACAAGGAGTTGAAAAGTTCTGAGTGGTTTTTTTT